ATTGGATATCATTAGGGCGAAACTAATTTTATTTACTACTGTTTTGAATAATGCGTTAGTGGTAAAACAGTCAAACCACTCTATTAAATTTCTCACCCAGGACATTCTTCTACGATCTGGATTTCTGCGTCCTTGGATTTTTCCTTGCATTATATTTTGTAGGAATGTATACTTTTGTCCTCTCATCAAGGGCCTAAGTATTCAAGTTTTCTCTTTTTTATATTCATAATAACTTCTGGATCGTTATTTATTCTGCGTATTACCTCTTCATTTGTAATTCTATCCACCCAACTTATTTTTAGTATACGGCTGTAGCACCACATCTCAAAGCTTTCAAGATTTTTAACATGCCTCTGTTTAAGAGTCCATGCCTCAACACCGTAAAGCAAAGTACTGAATACATAGCATTTTAACATTCTAGTTCGTAGATGAATACTAATATCACGATTACAATATAATTTTTTCATTTTTATAAAGGTAGACCTGGCAATTTCAATACGTCTTTTTATTTCGTGATTTTGGTCACCCGTTTCATTGATGGGGGTTCCCAAGTATTTGTATTCGCTTACTTTTTCGAGTCGGCTACCGTTTATTGCAATACTAGTGTCATGTATTGGATTTTTACTGATGGTCATATATTTGTTTTTTTTTACGTTCACCCTTAAGCCGTAGTTATTACATATCTCGTTCATACTTTCAACTCGATGTTGTAGATCTTCCGCTGTTCTTGCCATTATCACAGTATCGTCAGCATATCGAATGTTATTGATAACTTCTCCATTGACTATTATTCCTTCGTTTGCATGTGAGAGAGCTTCTTGGCATATTTGTTCGCTGTAGATATTAAACAAGAGCGGTGACAATATACAACCCTGTCGTACTCCTCTACGTATTTCTATTTCGTCCGATGTTTGGTCCGCTTAAACGTACATAAACATAATATTCAATGTTATCTTCTATACTACAATATTTCCTATCTGTTATAATACAATCGATGTCATTCTTTGTTTTTCAATCAGAAGTTAACCAATTGCACCTTCAATCTTCAATTTGGTTTCTTATAGAAGAAGCTGTTTATAAAAAATAAGCTGTTTTCTAAAAAAAGAAAGTTAGTAAAACTTTAATAGTTTTTCGTCTGATTTAAACTTCTATTTTCGCGTTAAAACGTCCACGTATTGGTAATATGAGTGCAAGTTTCTTCTAAAGGTCGATTCAGACACATCAGTCACGTCTCGTCACAGTTCTGGCGCCGAACCGAACAATCCGTCATACAAAATATTCTTTAATAGAAATATGGCGCCGGCATTCACATTCATCAGGCGACGAACAGTTTCTCAGCTGTCAGATAGTTGATAGTTCTGTGACCAAAAAGGACCGGTTCGGCGCCGAGACTATGACGCGACTGATGTGTCTGAATCGACCTTAAGTCGGTATGGATTATTATACATAGATAATTATCAACGTTTCCGTGATACATAGGGAGAGACACGGTCTGAGTTTTTTAGAAATCGCTGTAATCCTTTTTTGGTTAGTAAAAATCGTATCGATATAATTGACGTTGAATTTTATGTTTTATTCGTAAATTAATGGTGACATTCTTAAATTAACATAAAATATTAGATGACGAAAACTTATTGAAAAATACAATGTTTTGTTCATGTACTTAATGTTACATTTTGTAACAAATGTTAAAATTTTTACATTTTTCGGTGTTATTTTATGATATGGAATGTGTCATTTAAACCAAATTTCCGCAGATAGTGTGGTTGTATATTTACGTTGAGGAAAAACCAGAATGAGATACGTGCCTAGTAAATTAGAGAATCCAATGATTAATTCATTGACGGGGTTACAATTATTTTTAAAAGGGTGTTTATTCGTCAAATTGTACTTCTTTTTTGAATATATGCTCATATATTTTGCTTACAGCGCCGTTAGAGTTCTGATGCAGTGGCGCACTTTTGAAGAGTTGTTCTCTCCCTGCTTCCTTTTTGTTGTTTTATATCTTCCTATTATTTCTTGTGTTTCTTACCTCTACGAACGAACCCGACCTTAATCTACCAGTATTTACTGAACAACGGAGCTTTGGAGCCTATTGTGTACCGGTTAATATTAGTTCTTCATAATCTAGATCATCTAAGCACGATATAAGTGGAAGGAATTTTTATGCAGCATGTTTCTGACAATGATTATGTCAAAATTTTCCCGTGTTCAATGCATTGGCTATAGCAGATATTTATTTTTTGTCAATCAATACTTTGAAATATATCAGATTTACAGGTGACGGTGTCAATCACAACATCAAATTTAGTTGGGTTATGTTATTGTTTGTCCCAACTGTCACATGAAATCTTATTTATATTCGTGTCGATTCGACACGATCTGAAATAGCTTTAAGACAACCTGTCTTTCCCTATTTCAAATATCGATGTATATCCGGACAGGATATTCTCCGAGCTGTTAGCTGACTTCCGCGAGGTAATTATAAGTCTGCTGCCGGATTTTTCTTTACGTCGACAAAAGATAGACCAGCAGTCAACAACTCCAGTTCCTATATTTCTTGTTGGTTTGATAATATTGTAGCCAACAAGGCTTCGTGTTTATTCAAACCCTAAAGAGCTTTTGGAATCGTCTTCGAAGCGAAGTCTTCTTAAATCGAAGAAATGTTCACTCAGGCAATAATAACGCAGAAAATATTGTATACTTAATATATCGTAGCCTTCTTTCTTGACGTCCTGCTTCTGCACAGCCTACTGATTGAACTTCTTCCTCTCGGATCTTGAATTTTTCGGTCGTGGAAATCTTGGCTTCTTTTTCTGTAGGTACTTTTTTCGGCATCGTACCTACTTTCCTGATTGGCTGTCTTCGGCAACCACCCAGCTAGACCCTGATCATATGGTCAATCAGTCTGTGAGTTGATCTAAACATCTTCTAGATCCGATTCTTGGCTAGGATGTCTCTGGTCTTAAGGAGTCTTCTTATGGCTTGGTGGAAGAAATACCTCCTTTTCTCAGCCACCTCCCTCAGTGGTGTATACTGAAGCTTTTTTTTGATGATTGTATTTGTAATCCATTCTTCCCATGTTGATCCATCGATGATCCTGTAACATGACGTCTCTTTAAGTTTCTTCCAGTTGGATTGCGGTATGGAGCTCCAAACTAGGACAGCCTACAGCATAGCTGATCTAACGTAGTCGGCCAACAAGGTCTAGCTGTATGCAAATGATTTTTTTGTCAATAGTTCATCAAAAGTTTCTCTTATAATATGAGGAAACCTTGGAAGGTATAGAAAAGGGTTGATGCAAGGTCTAAAGCCCGCCACTTAGGTTCCAACGGCACGATACGATTTTGTCGAAAGCAATTGCAGTACAATAATGTTAAAAATCGGATGGGAACACACACGTACCGATTTGGCAGTATGAGTTTTACTTTCAAATCAGAAACATGTCAGATAACGATATACTTTTAGCGGCTCTTGCTGTTTATAAACGAAAAAAATACAAGAAACATAGCTGGTGGTGCAAATATTGGTTGCTAAAAAAAATACTTACTGTCACGTACATTTATTAGAAGGATTGTGATTATATCTAGATAATTTTAATTCCCATTTGTAACATGTTCGAAAATTATTAATTTTCTTTCTTATCAACTCTTCACTAGTATCCGTTTTCACTACTTGAAATTTAGCAATCAAAATATTCACATCCTTTTTCTAACGGTTTTATCATAATATGATGTCGATTTTATTTTCCAAAGACACTCTGTTCTTTAAAAATGTCAAAGAAATCTCTTAAAAACTTCTAGCTCAGCCGTTTTCGAAATTTACCAGCCAATGATTTTTTGCAGTCGTACTTTGTCGTTGTCATAATATAAACGATCAAATTTACGACCCAACCAACTCTGTCATACTGCTACGCACCGACTTGTTTATCTGCCGTCAAAAGCGCCGATTTGGTCGAATGGTGCAAATACACGATCAAATTTCGTTCAATTTCGTAGCATTCGATAAAATCGTACTGCGGCGTTGGAACGTGAGTGGCGGGCTTAAGGTTGTGGCATATTATCATGCACGTTGCGTTTCCAGTCCGTAGCGTTTAGTTTCCGAAAAAGATCATTTAAATGGTTTTAAATATGAACAATTCACACTGTCCGGAACGTATCGTATCAGACACCTAACGTTTCCGTTCAGTATATTCGAAAACAATATGTTACGGATGCCGACGGCTACGGAACGAGTCGAAACCTGTTGATAAGTCGTTTTCTCCTCGTGTGTTTTCACTGCTTTGTGACAATTTATCACGGAAGTGATAAACAATTAGGACTTTTGCACGGAAGTGATACCTGTTCTTTTTTAAAATTACTCTTTGGTTTGATAGGTATGGCTTCGTTAAGTATAGTATTTTGTTTTTTAACTAAAGGTGTAATTAAATTTAAAATATATTCAAACCCAATCCTATTCAGAATTTAACCTTGCTTTTTTATTTCTCTTAGCATTAGATGTACTTCAAACCTTCTTTTTACTACAGTTTTTCTTTCTTCATCGTTAAGTAGAAGAGCAATTGTACATAATTTTTGTCGCGAAAATCGAAATCATATCTTCACCGAAACAAATTGAAACGTTTTATGTATGAATAGGTGAACGCGCAGCCCGATTGCTGGAAGGAAACGCTACGTACCAGAAACTATATGTGTATGATAATATGCCGCGACCTTTAAGCTTACGTGGATTGCATAGATGGCATCAAAAAGAGTGCAAGAAATATCCGCGATATTTGAAAGCTTCGGTCTTATTATTGTCATTAACTCTCAAAAATATTATATTATTTTTTTTTAGTGAATGTTACTGTTTCTTTATTGGGATATATTAAATTGACCTATCTGTGTAACGATTTACTAACAAATTATTTTTGTATTGTCATTAGCTTATTTTAGAACCAATTACCCGACTCTGGTTTTAGTTACCGCACAACTCGGTTCAAAACTTCCACCAATGCTATTTTAGTGTTGATATTGACATTGAACGTTTTAGCAGTTAAATGGGTAACGCATTAAGTAAGTGCCTGCAATATTATTATTTATTTATAACTAAATAAACATTATTTATTAGAGATATGCTTTTACCAGCAGGTGTGTTGCATTTATTGGTTAAAAATAGGTTACTTAGGAAAGCAATATACATGTTATCTTTATGTGAATTTATCAGTTTGTTAATGGTATTCTCATTTATCTGTTTATGTGGAAGTGGTGATACAAGGCTGGTCAGAGATCAATGAATAACTTTCCTATATTTTGAATATATTAAAACTTTTTGTTAGAAAGATTTTGTTACGCATTGTTTTCTAATCGTTAAAGAACATTTTGTCTTTTGTATTTCCTAAATATTATTGGGCATTTTTACGTTCTCCAACTATACCAGCTCAAATAAGTAGGTAAGTGCTTTTCAATCTTCTCTTTTAGAAACAAGTTGAATTGCTTCAATATTCTCGTGTTGAACAAATTCCTTTATGGAAGATTTCTTCCAAATTTTTAAATATTTTATTAAATACTGCGATCCAAGTTATCATTGAACGTCTTCCATCTGGATATACCAGGACGCACCAACAATACTCCTTAAAACTTTATTTCATTACTTCATGTACAAATATATTTAGTATTTACTGTTATACCTTGTTAAATATAATGTCATCTGGTTAGTAGATGAACGTCCACGCCTGATATTCTCCTAGGAACCCTTTGGTATAAGGCTTCAATGTCTCAGGAAAGATGTTTGACAATATCTTTTAAGTTGTATTTAAAATTTAAAGTCTCAATTCTCAGATATTTGGTCCTACTTAAGACCCAATTTTACAAACTATTTTTTGCATGACATTGGGGATCTGCTGTCCACCGTGATTAAATAACTCTGCTGAGATATCATCGCTGCCTGGAGATTTTTTTCTATAGATATTTTCACTTCTTTTTCCGAGGGGTTCCGAGAGTTCTATCTTGTAAGTAGCTTCTCCTTCCAGTAATTTTCGAAAGTGTCCTATTAGAAGAAGCAGTCCTGGAATAAACATTTCATGTTTTGTATCAATATACATAATTATTGAAGTTCGGTTTATATTATGAAATGACTTATTTATTACAACTCCAACTCTCCAACTGATATCAAACCTGATCTTGACACAATAACATTGACCTACATTGTTAACAATATTCGCGCGATTTTGGCGAATGCGCGCTAAAACTTCACAGGCTAATCCATTATCACTTTTCGTTAAACGTTTGGAAATACATTAGAATGGATGTAAGTTTGTGAAATTAAATTTGCAGGAAGGAGTAGTATTGATCTGATGCCGATGCCTGTGAAAATGCAAAAGCATTTCAATGTTATTTCGTGACTAGACGAGTGTTTTTTGCTAATTTAGTTGCAGTTGCGAATTGTAAACTAATGTGTGTTTGTAATCAAATTTAAAAAAAGTAACTACAGGTGGGTATTTATTTTAATCCTTCTCTAAAAGTAAATAAGTAATCAGTATGTACACACGTGGATTAAATTACGAATCTGTTAGGTTTTATGATTAAAATTTTAACATTTGAATAAAACAATAACCTTTGATAAGACACGTTTAACCGTCTAAAAAATATTAAAATTAACAACATATTTTAATAAAATTCGTCCTTCATATTTTTAATTTTATAATAATATTAAACGAAAAATCATTTTTATTAATTTTTAATATCCAGATAGTTAAATCTTCCTTTTCCTGTAATACCGATCCTAGGTATTTAAAACTATTAGATACTTTTCACAATAATTGTACAATCCAAAGATATTTGTACTAACTAAATCTTAAAATGAACATTCCAAATACTCTGTTTTGTCCTACTCTGTTTTAAACCTTTTTCCTCAAGAGCTTGTCTTAACTGTTCCAGGTCTTGTTGCATTTCAGTTCAGGTCATGCATTTCAGTTGTTTCTACTAAAATTTAATGAGAATAATTAAGAATTAGGCACCAACTTCTGTTGCAACCCTCTTTCACATGAAATTTATCAGTCTTTTCTAACCCTAATTATTATCCTTCATACGTGTCCAGTAACGCACTTCTTCTATCTAAATTCAAGGCAGGAAAATATCGTCCTATTTGCCTTCTTCCTTGTATCGGAAAGTTGTATGAGAGAATGCTCCTACGTGCACGTATCGAGGAGGTGATTGTGATGTCTGGAGGCCTGTCTCCGAGACAATATGGTTTCTGCCAGGGTAAAAGTACAGTGGATGCAGTGACCAATTTGCTGCGGCACGGGGAATTGGGGCTGATCATCGATGGATCATCCTGATTTTCCTTGACGTCCGAAATGCTTTTAATAGATTGCAGTGGGGTCACGTAATGAGCTCCTTGGAAGCAAGGAACTGTCCTGGGTATCTGAGTAATGTGGTCGCTGATTATATTTCCGACAGGAAGATTGTGGTGAAAATGATGGTGGATGATGTGGTGATGGTGGATGTAACGACTGGGATCCCAAGGGCTCCTTCCTGGGTCCGACGCTGTGAAACCTGGCATATGACGGGGTCTTAAATTGCGAATATGGGGAAGGATGCTGGTGACGGCACGGGACAGGGAGGAATTCTTGCTTCGGATTACGCGTGCGTGTGTCCTCGTCAAGGATTGGATGAGCGAGCATGATCCCTCTCTTGCTGAGGATTAGGGGAAGTCTTTCATCCAAGAATTAAAAGATGCCAATTGGTTACTAAATTTGAGATACCTTTCAGACCTAAATAATAAATAAAACCACCACTTCGCTTCAAGGCAAAGAAGGAGCACAATTAGATAAAATCAAAGTCTTGCGTAAAAATGTTACATTTTTTAAAAGCACGTTTTGAAACGAGGATCCTCACAAATGTCTCTCGATTACAGGAATTTGTTATAACTAATTAAATCAATTCTCAAACGAACTTTTTTGAAATTGTTATTGCTCATTTGCAAGGTTTGGAAGAAAATATTATAAACTATTTTCCTGAGAGGGACTCAGATAACTTACATTAAAAACAAATACAGAAGCAAACTTCAAGCATCAAGGATTTGAGGGTCAAACTTAAAAAGATTCCCATAAAGGATATAATATCGAAACGGTTTCACTCATCACGTTAAGTAAGGATATTTGAATATCAAATGTACTGTATTTTATTGATCTGAAATAAAGTTTATATTGAAATCAAATGAGCCTCAGAATTATATTTTTTCATTTTTTGTCGTTTTCCAAATCGCTTCAAGGGTTCGAAATATTTTTAGTCCTACAAGGGTGCCGCGGCTAAAAAAGTTTGAGAACCACTGATCTACACAATAAACAATAAAACATTTCTTATTTCAAATATTGTATAATAAAATAAAACAAATTATCAAAATCGGATCTGTCTGAGGATTAAAAATATTTTTTCACGGTTTCTTGACTCGACTATGTAAACAATACGAAAATTTGCACTGTCTTGAGGTTTTTCTTATCAATTTTTTTAAATATGTTTATCAACTACTTTATCTCGACTTATATAAAACGAGTTGGTTTATTTTTAATACTTGAATTTACTTTCAGAAACAAAAATGTCAAATATTTTACATGAAGTCGATACTCCTTTCGAAAAAGCAACCTTTGGAATGGGTTGCTTTTGGGCAAATGATGCTTTATACGGTGCTCAACCAGGAGTCCTGAGAACGAGAGTAGGATACGCAGGAGGTACGACTGAACAACCTACATATAGAAGCATGTAAGTGTAATGTGTATTTCTTGCTAATTTTTCTTTGTTTTTGCTTTGTTAAAACGATTTAGCGTGGTTAAAAAGAACTGACCTATTCTATTTAAATGATTGCTCCTATTTAACCTTCGGGTAATAGCGCTAGGTGGCATAGACCAGGTGGCTCTAAAAATAGTAATAGAGGATTTTTCTTCTTTATTTTGTAGGAATTTACATCAAACGTACTTAAAAAATGTTAAATAAACATAAATTCAACAAATAGCTACAAAAAACAAAACGACATACTTTTATTGTAGTTCCCTACAATGTATTGCATTTATAGCAGGAAAAACGGGTTTTTCTATTCTCTCCAGCTGCAGTAGATATACCTTCGGCAGGTAATGGCTGTAAATAGCTAAGATTGCTCAGAGTTACTCTCCTTTTCAAATGTGGTTGAACTAATGCGTTTGCTAAATCTCTAAAAAAATGTCGTAGCCGTATATTTAGATTTCCGTTGTTTGCTTTATATATCACCTGAGGATTGATTCCTGCAACATTTATTAATGTGTAAAATATCACCATGGGCCATCTTCTCAAGTCATTCTACTCCAGGCACTCGAAGCGAAAGGGTCACAGTACACATACCGGCTCGCATATTTCGAGTGCAGTAGCAGCAAAGATCTACGATCCTAATAAATATATATAACAAACCTATGAAAATCCGATGTAAATCCAACCAATAAATATATAGAAATATACAGAAATAAAATATAAAAATATATATTAGTAAACACATAAAAAAACTAATATATTCCCAAAATAATATATATATATAGAAAATCCAAACTATATATACCGAAGTTAAATTAGTAAACATAGAAAAAAGAAGATTAATAACCATCGAGAATCCAAATTAATATCCACATAGAATTGGCAAATCAATAAACACACAGAAGCTAATAATAAATACAGGAAACCACCTAGTAGTAGGAGGGATTGCGGCGAGAGGTAACGTAGACTGGGTGTAGGATAGAGCGTCTCCAAGGGTAGTGGTCCGCAAGGACGTCCCTCGGAGGCGTTCTTAGATAGTTCGCGAAGGTCCGTAAGTGCTTAGCGAGCACTGAAGCGTTTCTTGTGAGGACAAGACACCTTAATCCAACGAGGTTCTCTCGTTGCCGGTGGTGAGTCTGCCATTGGCCAGCAGGAAACGCCCACAAAAAATCCGCTCTTTGCGATAATCCTTCCCAATCTTGGACCTGGGTCCACGGAGCTATCGGACGTCCTGAGGTGGAGATTCCATCGCCTCAGTGATGTCGTCAACTCCCACAAGGCCTAGCATGCCTTCACTCGACTCTCCCCCTCCAACCGAAGTGGAGCCAGCTGGTGATTTTCTGATCAGACTGGCCTCCATTATAGAAGAAGCTTTCATCAGGTTTCCTGATGCGACAACCAAAATCGTAAGCGACCTCAACATTCTGAGGCCGCTACTCAATCCTGCCCACCCCGCCTCAGAAGACGATAACGACTCTGACGGCTATGAGGACTTCCCTCCTCTCCCAACCATCAAGGAGGTCAACTCCAACACCACATCGCCAGCCAATTCGCCAGCCTCTAGGCCAAGAACTCGTTCCAGGTCTAAGAGGCCAAAAAAGCCAACCAAATCTGCCACGAAATCCAAAAAGAAAACCTCCAATGTAGCCAAAGCTACACCATCTTCCACACCAAAGCCACCTTCTCCAGCCACAAACCCTGCCCCCGCTACCGCAAAAGCAAAAAGGGCTACTGTTGCTTCCACTATCGAGGTGCCTTCCACCTCCACCTCCAAAGCAAACTCCAAGCTAACTACCAAAACCATCGAGACACCTAGTGCCTCAAAACCAGCTGCCACCAGTTCTGAGAGCCAGGTGAAGCCTCCGCGCAAAGGTTCACCTACAGAGTGCTCAACATCCCTGGAGCTTACGACACACAACGTAAGTTTTTCCAGCTAGTAAACACCCAAGAATTATTCAAGGGTGTTATGGTTAACCTTAAGTTTGTGCCGAAGGATCAATTGGCATATCTGGAAGCGTCCAAAACTTTGAACGTTAAAGATATGTCAAGAGCGCTCCAGGACAGAACTGGTGACCCGGCCATAGTCATTGAGCCTAAAAACTCACGACAACGTTCCGCCAAAAAGCCACAAACAGACACGAAATCTCCCTACCATCTTGTCATCTGCGATGTTGACACTGCAATCACCACCGAGGAGCTCGGACTAAGTCTTGTTGAAATCGACTTTCCATTCAACTCCCTTCACCGAATAATTTCAAAACGGTTCAACAAGCCTACCAGAATGGTCCGAATGTTCCTCGATTCTGAGGAGTACTACACAGACGCCTTAATCAACGGCATCTGTATAGATGGCTTGATTAGGCCATGTGAGGCTCCTCACAATCCTAACATTATTAAGCCCACCGCCAAATACTGCAGCAGATGCTGCCAAAGCGGCCACGAAATCTCCGAGTGTCGGACGCGACAGACAACTTGCCCTAATTGCGGTAGCGGTGAGCACAAAAGCGCCGACTGTCCCAACTTGAAAAACCCTAAGTGTCCAAACTGCAAGGGAACACATCCAGCTTGGTCACCCCGATGCCCCAAAAGGCAGGAGACACCTTCCTCCCACCAAGAGGCAAAACCTCTGACTACTGAGAGAAGGATTCCTCCGGCTACACTAACAGCAGACGTTAGGTTGTGGATTCAGTTCACAACCACGCTGCTGATGAACGTCCTGCCAGATAGGAGAGAGACTATTGCGAAGTACTCGTCCGACCTGTCGGGTAAGATGTTCGGGCACTCCATAGTGCCCACAGCGAGAAACAATAAGGTCGAAATGACCTTCGTCCCCCTCCAATAAGTCGTTACATTCAACTGTGTAATAGGTACGGTCAACTGTTCGGGAGTCGGTCGAAAGAGAGCACTAATAAAACATCTACTCTTCACCCAAAACATACAAATCCTCTCTCTCACCGACACCCGACTTAAAGCCCCCCCTAATTTCACAGGATACACCTCACACCACCTGAACAAAAGCCAGACCAGTCATGGCAACGGCCTATTGATTCACCACACAATACCCTCCACTCCTCATACTCCTCCTCCTCACATATTAGGCCAGCTCCATGACACCGACTTCCTGGCAGTTGACATACACCTACAAGACAACACTAAGATCACGATAATATCCTATTACAAGCATCCAAACACACCCCTCTCCATACCCCTTGTCGAGTATTTTTCCACACTAGACAAGGCGGTTTTAATGGGCGACCTAAACAGCAGGCATACTCAATTTGGTGATACAACCTCGAATATTCCGGGCAGACAGCTCTCAGACCTTCTTCTTGAGCTGCCAATTTCCAGAATCACCAACCGAGAGGTCACGTTCTTCAACCACCAAGGAATGTCCATAGTCGATCATATCTTATGCACGGTTAACCTGCTTGATAGGATGGACGATGAATGCTTCATTGGTGATTCCATAACCTCTGACCATCTCCCTCTTCTAGTCAACACTGACTTCAACTCCTTACCTCAACCAAGACCTGCAATCTATAGGATAAATTATCGTAGAGCAAATTGGGATCTTTTCCAAGAACACATCAACCAAAATATTCCTGAGTTAGGCAATATGTCAACACATAACCAAGTTGACACAGGGATTTCCAAAGTTGAGGAACTTCTTCAAGAAGCCTCATCCCTGGCAATTCCCAAAACAAGATATAATCCTTATACTCCAACACTTCCGCCGCAAATCATCGCGCAAATAAAAACCAAACGAAGACTTCTCAGAGAGTATAAAAGATTCAGAGACCCAATCATCAAAACAGAATACAATAGGCTCTCGGCGGTCATAAGACTCGAGGTGAACAAGCTGAAACAAAGACAGTGGATGCGAGTCACCTCGGACCTTGACTACCGGGACGGTTCTGCATTCTGGAATAAACTCAAAGTCCTAACAAGACAAAAAAGTCAGCCACGATCTCATCTCAAAATCAATAATGTCATCCTAAATAATCCGCAAGACAAGGCCGAAGCATTCAAAAACAACACTTCAGGCCACCCTCGTTTCACCCAATAACCCAAATTTCTGCGAAAGATCCAAAAGAGCCACCGAACGGAGAGTGGAAGAGATATTCTATTACCCTCAGCCACTTGATGGACCACATCCTCACCCGATGATGGCACCAGTGACTGAGGAAACCGTCAGTGAGATGTGTAAAATAGGAAAAAACACGTCTCCTGGCCCAGATGGCATCCATAGAAGATGCCTCAAAAATCTTCCACAGAATATCATCCCGTTGCTCACCAATATAATCAATGCATCTCTTGCGCTGAGCTACTTTCCTATTCCGTGGAAAGTGGCCAGCACCGTCATGGTCCCTAAAAAAGGGAAAACCCTAACCAACCCTGAATCGTATAGACCAATTTCTTTATTGAGCACCCTAGGTAAAGTCTACGAGAGGATCCTTAAGGAGAGACTCGTAGAATTCCTAGACGCTCACTTCCTCATACCAAACTACCAATTCGGATTCAGGGCTGGACACTCCACTCAAAATGCATTGGTTGAAGCAACAACCTTCATTTCACAATCCATTAACGAAAGGAAACACGTCGTAGGCATTTTCCTCGATGTCCAGAAGGCTTTCGATCAGGTCTGGCATGCAGGCCTGATTGAGAAACTCCACCTTGCTGGACTGCCAACACCTTTCGTTAAACTAATAAATTCCTATCTCTCCCATCGGACGGTTCGGATCAAAATAGGAGAACACTTCTCCACTCCATTCACTCCTCAAGCAGGAGTGCCCCAAGGCTCAATACTTGCTCCAATATTATACACAGTATACAATAGCGACATCCCCCGCCCACAGCAAGGATCGGAGTCTCTCCTCCTATTTGCTGATGATACAGCCATCCTTACCTCAGGCTCCTACAGGGAAGGAGAGCGACGGTCTGTATTCGAGAAATCGCAAGATTATCTTGACAGAGTCGTGAGGTGGTGCAACAAATGGAGGGTTACACTAAACCCATCCAAAACTCAAGCTATATTATTCAGACCCCCTTACGGACGCGGCCTTCAGGGCCGGGTGACACTTTTGGGAGAAGACCTTGTTCTCAGGAACTCAGTTCTCTACCTGGGAGTTCGTTTTACGAGAACTCTCAGCTGGAAGGCTGACGTCCAAGAATCCCTTGACAGGATGAGAAAAAGGCTCAATCTCCTGAAAGTGTTGGCCGGTAAACTAGGAGGAACGTCCACTAGAACCTTGTTGCACACCTACAAGACTTTTATCCGACCGATTATCGAATACAAGGCATGCGTTTACCTCTCCCTGAGGAACCACGAACTTAATGCCATCACTGCCACAGAACGTAGAATACTACGTTTCTGCATGAGAAAGGACTGGCTGTATCCATCAGCCCACATACACGCAATATCCAACATCACGCCAATTAAGGACAGAATCCTAACCCTCAGTAGGAAGTATGTCCTAAGAACCATAGCTGGCTCGAACAACCGAGCAAAACAAATACTAAAGACACCTTGCACACATAGAGGGCAAATACTCACCAGGCATCCCGCAAAAAAAGTTCCATTCCCTCCAGCTAAACTTCTGCACAACGCTGGACCTGAACTTCCTGATGAGTATTTTGATATTTTAGAATCTTTCCCCATATACTATCGCAGATAAGCTGCGCACCAAAAACGCTAATAAAGAGCCGTTCCTACTGTATGGCTGGTAACCCTGAAGTACCTCACAGCATGCTAGGCGACCCCAATTCTTCTTGTGCGTTCACGATTCTTATCGATCACAAAACAAGCCACCTTCTTTTCCCCCTTCTTCCTTAGCAGTTCTCTGCTTCTTAGGCCGCGTTTCGATCAGTGACGTCTTATCTCGTAACCACCACAACTCCGTCAAAAAAAAAAGGAGTTCCCCGTTCCTTGAAGAGGCGTAAGCCTAAACAAGGTTAAAACTCAAGGTTAGTTAGGCCATCTTCTGCTATTCCGGGAGCAGTTGTAACTGTCACACAACTTATCTGCATCTACGACACCACCTTTTGTACTATTATGTAAGTAGTGACTATTACTGGTTTAGATTTATAATCACTGTTTATTTCAATATCATCATGATGGTGCATTGTGATATCCTCTGTAAAGCTAAACATGCTTGTACGGATTGGACGTTTAGTGGGGTTTGAAAACTCGACTGGCAGTTCTGTTTTATTTTTTTAGCGTTCCAATTGTAGCTTTTTTGTAATCCCGAAGCAACTTCTCCACAAGTGAAACTGATGTATTCAAGTTATCTATTGTCAAGTTAACGCGTGAACCAGAAATGTGTTTGCACATAGACTTCCATTTTTGAAGTGTAAAATACTTTTTAATCACAAAATTCAAATATCTTGAGTCCGTATTTATTAGGTTTTGAGGGAATGTACTATGGAACGAACATCTCCATCTGAAAGCGGGGAGTATCTCATCAATGGTAACAAATGCTGAATGAATATAACAATTTTGACAATTTTTTACGAACTGGTCAAACACCACACGAATGGGAGCTGGCTTGTCAATTTTTGATCGCTCTGCACATGTTTCCTTATCATCAAGCCTAATGTAACGAAAAAGAAATCGGAATCTTTGTAGATTCATCGTAAGACAAAAAAAATTCTATACCATTACCGTCTCTCCTCCAATGATCTTCTGCGCTGGCACGATTATAGTCACCTAACCTAGATAAATATAAGAGTCCTATAAAAGCACGGATTTCCATTTCATCAGTGAGATTAGCATTTCGCTCTCCCGAATAGTTTTTTTAAATGGAGGCTTTTGAATGGATGTCTTTATTTGTATTTTCCACAATAATACCAATGATTGATACAACAAAATCTTAATCTACTCTCTGCTATAGTCTTATGTTAGTAGAAGATATTGACTAACCATAGAAGTAAATAATGCATAGCACCACAAAACTATTGTTTTAGTTTAATATACCAACAAATCTTATATTTTTTAAACTTAAATTTCTTTAATTATATTTATATTGCATAATATTCGGTAGTAACATGATTTTGTGTTTTAGAGGTGACCATACCGAAGTAATAGAAATTGATTTTGATCCAAAAGCGGTGAGCTACGAAAAGTTGTTGAGTCTATTTTGGAAAAATCACGAATATGGACTCACAACCAAAATTAAGAAACAGGTAAGGTTGTAGACTACATGAAATAATGCTTATATTTTTATCTCACGACATATCATAATATTCAGTCTTTATCTCACGGAAATGGTTTCTTAATTTTAGAATTTTACTATTTCTTAATGGCATTTGTTTAAATGTTTATTGAAGCTGAGCTTCTATACTGGCGTTGTATTGAAGCTAATCCATCAACGGTGTTAAGAGTTTGGAGGAGGTTGTCCAATGGTGAGACTTATTGGCATCGTGAAGTGTCTGGACATCCTAGAATATTGCAAGGCCGTGATTTTAATCAGCAAGAATAATTAATCAAATATTACTTGGAATGGGACTGAGAGCTTACCTTCCACTTTTGGTGTTACCTTGACACCACAGCATAAGGCTTGACGCTTAGAATAGTGCAGAGCTCGGCAGAACTGGAACGGCCAATGGAATTTTGTCTTCTTCAGTGATGAATCTAGCTTTTGTTTTGGTGGCTCTGATGGGCACATAAGGGTAAGACGTTTTCGAGGTGAGAGACGAAATATAGACTTAGCTGTTGAACGTCATACAGCAAGACAAAGCAACGCAAGCTTTATGGTGTGGGGTGCTATATGTTTGGGAACCAGATCACCTCTAGTTCTTACTAATGGTACTTTGACATCTCGACGATATATTGGTGAAGTACTGCAACCGGTTTTACATCCCTTCCTACAAACCATTCCAAATGCGATTCTGCGCTCTTTCTATACGACACAGGATAACGCAAGAGCTCATATTGACGGTGAAACCATGGAATTCATATAAGAATCTGGTATAGAGACTTTGGAGTGGTCATCAATATTATCTGATTTGTCGCCCATCGAACATGTGTGGGATATGGTAGGTCGAAACCTAAATTGATTGCCATACCCTCCAGCAAACTTAAAAGATCTGTGGCATGCCATCAGAAGAATCTGATATAGACCACTTGATGTGGTGAATATAAAGAGGTCATTTCTGACATACCTGGGATGAGTTCTGTTCTTTTTGACAATTAAATGATTTCGTTTTGGACGTATATGTCATGAAATGCATTGTTTTGTAGATATTTTGCATGTTTATTGGTATTGGTAATAATACACTATTTTATTTGTAATCTTTCTTTCTTTGCAGGTTACAGTGTGAGTTTATATTATAGAACTCAAGTCATTGTAGTGGAAAAAATAGTGGGGGAATCATTGATCTTCGCAATACCATAATTTCTAAAATACTTCTTATGCCATCACGTCATTAAGTCAGTTTGTTATTTGATTTGATATGTCGCCTGCTGTCACGTATATTTCTAATAGCTGTTTCTTCTTCCCCAACTTTTCCTCCCTTTTTAGGGGTCGCTGTTCTTTACTATTCTGTGTCACATATTTCTGTCTATCTTGTCTTTTTCATGTAAATATTCCTCAAGTCCTCTGCCACACAGTTATTCAATCTTATCCATGGTTTTCCTCAACCTCTCCCCCCTAACTGACCAAACTATTGCAGTCTTTGTTTTTTAACTTTTTTGAAACTATAGTCACCCCAGCTAATATTAACAGTTCAGATTATTAAATAACTTGCTTGTAAATGAATAATATTCTCCATAATTTTAATTTAACACAGATAGCTGTCATGGAATCAGTACTTCCTAATAATAAAATTTTAAATGATCGTAAAATTGCACTTAAAAATAATGTATTTATTAAATATTGTTATAAATTGGGTTACTTTTCTCTGTATTTATAGGTAATGTGAATCATGAAGCTGTATAATTTAAATTGGATATAAAAAATTTAAAAGAAAGTTTAATAATAAACACCACTTGATATCGGTATCTGAACATTTTTGCTACCTAATAATTATTTAATTAGACTTAATTGTTTTAGTATGCTTCAGTTATTTTATATCACAACGATGAGCAGAAACAGTTGGCTGAGAAATCAAGAAAAGAAGAAGCGGAGAAGCATAATGTTCCTTTAATAACTGACATTGTTTCAGCAGGACCATTTTATCCAGCAGAAGAGTAAGTTTACCATGTAATATTTCCGTTTTATTCCTTTTCTACAGTATTCCAAGATCTCAAATCCTACGATCATATTTATACAGATAACGACATTGTTTTGTTGACCATAAGAATTAAGATTTATTGCAATCCCATCTCTAGAGTATATTTATTATAATGCCCTAAAACTATTTTTTTAGGTTATTTTTTAGCCTTAATAGCAATACAAATAAATAAGTAAGTAAATAAGTAATATGCTTTATTGTCACTGAAAATTGTACAAATTTTATGGACAAAGCTTATAACAATAAGACAAGAAAGAAGAAAAAAAAATCAGAATAAGAATCGTTTGTACTTTTAAATAAAAAGAAAACAATAAAATTCTTCGAAACTTAAACATAAAAAATACTACCTAATTAAGAACCTACAAACTTCGTAAAACGTACCTAACAAAAAATAATAATTAGAAAAGCAGATTAATGAATTAAGAACTCGAATATTCCACCTCCTTGTGCTAAACAGTAACCAAATCTGTCTTACAGATTTCTCCTCATATTATGGAGTAGGGCTGGTGTAATGCTTGCAGAGAAATGAAGTATTGTTGCCCTTAATTCGACTAGGTTTGTGGCCCTTTCAAACTGATGCCTATAAATGTTTTCTTTGAGAAAACCTCCAAAAAAAAAATCGTTAGGTGCTAAGTCACAGGATCTAGCGGGCCATTTAATTGTACCACGTGTACTTAGAAGTCGACCAGGAAACGTTTGATTGAGGAACTCAATAGTTGCTCTAGAGTTGTGAGCTGAACACAAATCCTGTTGGAAATAAACCTCCTGAAAATTAACGGGAAGGCGTCGAACTGCCGGAATGCTCTCATTCTGTAAAAGTTGTAAATATTTGGGCCCATTTAGGTTTCCATTGATAAAAAATGGACCAACAATATGGCCGTCTAACATTCCAGTCCAAACAATTAACTTTTGCAGATGCTGCGTTCGCACTGCAACACTGAGGTACTTATTTTTCCGAGAATAATACCTTGCAACGGATGGATTGTGTTTTTATGTAATGAAATTGAAGATTCATCAGAAAATAAAATATTTTTTAAAAAGTTTATATTTTCATTCTGTTTTTCTAACATAAATTCGCAAAACTCCATGCGCCTAAAGTTATTTTCTGGAAACAGTTCTTGTGTTGGTTGTATCTTAAAACAGTGATACTAATTCCTTTTGAAAACTCCCTGGACAGTTCGAGCAGTCACGTTAACTTCCCTAGCAATTTGTACACTATTGCAGGGTTCACTAGCTTCCACAAAAGCACAAATATCAATATCCCTGTATTGACGCTCCTCATCGACAGGTCTAACGGTAATGTGGTTCATTACCTTCATGACACTTTTTACAATTGTTTACACATCCTAAAGTTTGAAAATGTTTAATGGTATTTTTAACTGTTCTAACACTTGGTAGGGGTCTATTTTCGAAGACAACAATAAATAAATCAATTACTTCGCGTATCCAATGACCCTGAAAGTAGCATGTTACAAGTTGCACTTTTTTTGGACGATATACAACGTAATAGGCATTTTATTAATTATTTGTGTATTCTTTCAGAACGTCGTGAACTTTCAAACTTCAATGTTTCAAAATAATGTCGTAATTTGTATAAGGATGAGCCATCGACAAAGGTCATAATTAGGACGTCTTGGAATGTGCCTTCATTCTTCCGGAGGTTTAGTCACAGTCACCCCTAAAAACTTAAACATAACCTAACCTAACTTTAAAAGGTTAAAACATCGAGTTAGAATCTAACTCGATGGGTTGAAACCATTGATATAATATAACTAGCAACCTTTGTAATGTATTATTTTTCAGCTATCATCAAAAATACCGTCTACAAAAGCACTCACTGTTATGCAACGAATTATCCTTGACACCAGCGCTTCTACAAAAATCTCACGCTGCAGCCCGCTTAAACGGATATGTAGCAGGAGTTGGAACAAAAGACGAACTAGAAAAAGACCTGGTAAAATTGGGATTATCAGAAAAAGCTGCAGAATTGGTCAGAAATCAGTTTAAAGAAAATCAAGGTGGCGGCTTGTATTGCTGATATAGAAGAAATTTGAGCAAAAGCCTCAAACGTCACCAAGAAAATGAGTGTATGATTATTTGAATTTGATGAAACATGACTTTTACTTAATTGATAAAAGTGGTTTTACACTTATTAAATTAATTATCATAATTTGTTTCCTTATTTTTATGCTTTTGAAGAATTCATTTTGATAAATTCGATTAAATGTGGAATTTAATGTTTGTAGTAATTATATAATTGTTTATCAAAGCATTAATTTCACATTATTAATATAATATGAAACATAAGTATTAATATATTGTAATTGCCTATAAATAAATATATTTTTCTTATCAAATTTGACGTTTATTTCTTTGTCAACTATTTTCCATCCACTCCTGAATGTAGGTTTCTCCCAATTGCTTCCATCTTTCTCTATCTTGAGCCAATCTAATCCACTGTTTGCCTGCCACTGCTCTTTATGTCATCTACCCATCTTTTTTGAGGTCTTCCCATGCTTCTTGTTGTCATCCTTGGTCTCCATTCTAGAATTCTCCGTGTCCACCTGTTGTCATTATATCGGACTACGTGACCTGCCCAGCGCCATTTCATTTTTGTAATTTCTTCCACAATATCCCTAATCTTCGTTCTACGTCTTATCTCGGTGTTTTTAATCTTGTCTATCAGTGATATTCCAAGCATGATTCTTTCCATTGCTCTTTGCGTTGTTTCTACTTTTTTAGCAGCTTTTTTTGTAGGGGCTACTGTCTCCAAACCGTAGGTACAAACTGGTAGTATGCATGTGTTATACATCTTTTTCTTTAAGTTCATAGAAATGAAGATGTTTTTCAAGATATATGCTAGTTTGCTGAAAGCGCCCCATGCCAGTTGTGTTCTTCTTTTAATTTCAGCATCTTGATTTGGTTTTCCTAGTTTGATGACATGACCTAGATATACATAATGTTCAATATTTTCTATGATATGATGTTATATTTGCCTTGTCTTACTCCCCTTTGTAGTCTTATGGTATGTTTTTGTGCTTTCGTCCAGCTTTATCTGCCTGGTGGCATTTTCATATATGTTTTTAATTATATTAATTAATCTATATGTGCATTTTCTAGAGATTCAAGCTCTGCCCATAATTCGATAGAATCGAATGCTTTATAGAAATCGACGAACGCCATATGAATTAGAACATTATACTCGGTGCATTTTTCTATCAGTCTTCTTACGGTCAGCAAGTGGTCTATGGTACTAAAATGTTTTCTGAATCCAGCCTGCTCGATAGGTTGATAGAAATCGAGCTTATGTGTTAGGCGGTTGGTTATGATTTTGGTTAGTAATTTATACACATGTGATAACAAGGATATTGGTCGGTAATTCTCGATGTTTACTTTGTCTCCTCTCTTGAATAGAAAATGACTTCGTAATTGTACCATTCTTGAGGAATCTTTCCTTCATCAATTACTTTATTAAATAAAAAATTTAATACCTGTTCCATTTTTCTGCCACCAATTTTCAACATTTCAACTGTAATTTTGTTAAGAACCATCCTAAATAGTGGAGATATCTAAATACTATGCTTTTCACAGTAGAAAATGGAAAATTTTGTTAGAAATGGGTTCATTGATCCAATAAACAGATAATTCAAAGATGTATGGAAGTACCGACCTGGGCATTTTTTTTAAAGACGTCTAATATAAATTGGTTGTACTTCAGTTCAATCAGCTTATTGTACATCTTCGATTCCTTTATGATACCCATTCAAAATTTTTGAAACCCTGTATCAGCTTGTACAAGGTCCAGTGGATTGATCCCATATATTTTTTGCAGTCACTTGGTAGTCTTCAAAAGTTGATGATGAAGTAGAATGTTTACGACCAAATGTTTGACATTTCTTCATAAACATTAATGTAAAAATTAGACGAAAGTTGGTAAGGTAAATCAATAATGGACAGACACTGTTTGAATATTATTGATTTATTCGAGTATATCTATAATATGATGAAAACCTAGAGCTAAGATTAATACTATTACTAGATTTAATATTAAACTCTACGGTCTCCCGAGCTTCCAGATACACTGATCAATAACCAATGCATGACTGCTACTGGAAACAGAGGACGGTTTATTTATACTGTCGATGTTGACTTGGTTTGGGTGGAGATTGTCGTGGCGGTTAGCGTGGGGCATTAGTTACTATAATGTATTTAAAATTTTGCTATATTACGAAGATTACTAGTGTCTGTTTTATAGTTAATGGCATTCTTAGTTCGATTGATATGACACATCTCGAGAAACAATCTATTTTTGTAATTGCTTAATGATTGCAATATTTTCACGATGTCATAATCAAACTAGTGGCTTGTTTTTATAAAATGTTCGACAACAGCGCTTGTTTTATGTCTTCTGTTGCAGTCACCTTTGTGGTGTGTGATCCGCTGTTTCAGTCTCTATCCGGTTTGTCCAATATAACATCCCTGGCAACCTAAACACTGAAATTAATTATAACATTGCTATTATACATCACTGGTATCCAATCTTTAATTTTAGAGAATATGGTTTTGCATTTAAAGTTGCTGTATTTGCTAATTTTTATATTTGTGTAGTTATTACAGAGAAATAAGTTTGATTTTTTCAAGTTGGAATATATGATCGTTTTTATATTGAAGATCTTGGGGATGTTGATCTAATTGTCCAATATAAAACCGTATGTTGAATATTAGTTGTTTTAGTATTATATCCTTACGATAACTGTCATTTAGAAACAATTGGAATAATTTGTTTTCGTACTGGTATACAAATTGGTCGTCGCTGATGTATTCTATTTTTCATTGCAATAACGGTATTTCATTATTGACTTTTGGGGTGTTAAAAGCATAGTTTAGAAACATTCCTGATTTTGTAGGCTTTTGATACCATTCTAGTATAATATTGTATTTGCGGATGTCTTTGGTATCTAGAAATGGTACACTATTGTCCTTCTCCATTTCAACAGTAAATTGTATGTTTTTGTTGAATGAATTAAATTATTTTGCTGAAAGTATCACAATGCAGCTCCTACCAAAGGACGGAACGTCCAATTGTGTCAGAATGGAATACTTTATGTTTTGAGTAATAAGTTTTTATTTTACCTAAACATTCTGTTTGTTTACATTCTCAAAAACACCTACCGGGAGCACCTCAAATGAAACTCCGATAGCTTTTATAAACACAATTTAGGCGTAGTTGCAATAAGGTCAATTTTATTTATTTGTCCACTAACTAACACCTTGACAAAGGACACATTGTATGCTTTTTATGTAGGTGTATATATGTATGTACCGATTCGATCCGCGAATAAAGAAATCTTAGGCCCCGAATATAGGAATTGGATAGCTTTTTTCCAATAGGCGAATGAAGGAAGCGCGAATAAGGAGCCTTTACTGTATTTTGTTTTAATTAAACAGTTTCCTGTGTTAATTGTGTTGTTAGGGACTTCCGATTTTTTTAGTACTATCAAGTATCATTTCCATTAATGGAGAGCTGTCCATTTGGTCATGTAATCTTTCATCGATTGTCCTTTGGTAGTGATCGGAGTTTTCTTTCAGGTTGTTAATATTAATATCGATTAGTGTTACTTTTGTGATTTATTTTATTCTTTCTAGTTTTAGATCTAGAATAATTGCTCAGATTAGTCTATGGTCATGATTATACTGAGATTTTTTTTGTGACAATCTTGTTGGTTGAAATGAAGTTAATTTCATTCTGATGGTTCTATTTGGTGCTACCAAAGTCTATTTTCTATTGGTTTTTATAAATGTATTTACAATAAGGTTTTTTTCGTAGTGTGCAAACTGAACCAGTCTGTCCGCCTTTCTATTTTTCTCACCGACTTCACACTTTCCCATGACTTATTCATTGTTGTTTCTCTTCCCCACTTTGGCAATGGAGTCAACAATTACATACTTTTAGTTACTTTTATTGATATTTTAATGTTTCAGTTACGTCACTGTAGAGTTTTTCGATTTCTTTATCAGTGTGGGTAATCTTTGGGCGTATATTTGTATATTATATATCTTTACGTTTCCATTTTTTGTTGATTAGAAATCCAATACCACTTGATTTGTCCGTTATTCCACAGTTAGTCCCCATTCGTTCGTCTCCTCCTTTTGGTATCGCTTGGGTCACTTTTTCTATTGGGCTATGCACCTTTTCGTTTCGATCCATACCTTACGCACATCCGTTTGTTCTGAGTGGTTTCATTCACTGCTTATTTTGTATTCGTGAAAGATTTTCCTCAGATATAGAAATGGGTATCAGAACGTGAATTTTGGGTAGCGGTGAATGTCGTACGATTGTTGTTAGTACGCACTGTCACACAGGAACAGGTTAGAAACTTTGATAGTGATTGTCAACATTCGATAATTCTGATATGGCAGAAAAAGAAAATAATTGGGGTGCCCTACATATATAATACTAACATATACATATACACAGCCTTTTGTGTAGAATATAGGTCATTTTAAAGAAAAATCGTGCTAAAATATTGCAAAATTTATTACCAAATTACAAAATGTTCTTTGAGCATACTTTGGTTTTTATCATTTACTTTAAACTACAAATTTACAATGTCAAACAGGACAAACATCACATTTGTAACGTATAGTATAAAAATAGAACAATTTATCTATTATATTACACTTATCAAAGTTGTACTAAACATACTGTCTTGTCAACAGTCATAATAATTTAAAATTACTTAAATTTTTTAAAACATTTATAAAATGTATTCAGATCAACAGTGCCCCCAAAGGACAGACCTCGTAAGAAAAACTTTAATAACAAAAACCATATTTTGGAACTTAAAAATATTATAAAAAAATGTACATTTTATCCTTTGTTGCTATTGGAACTATGACACTTCTTAGTTTTAGACGTTAGCCAACTTACAACTATTTAAAACAATAAGAAATATACAACTCTATACTACCTCTTATACTAGAAAACAAGTACATATCTGTAGGTTTAAAAAATAAAACTACTTATCCTACTTACACAGTAGGTATATGCCGAAATATACAATATGCACCGAAATTTAAAGCTTGACATTAATTTGCGCTTAAAATCTTCGTCATTGTTTGTTTCAACTCAAGCACTTTTATAAAAAAGTTTATATAGTTTCAGTCAAATGGAGGCGCATGAAATGGTATCTTAAGTTTGAAACAAGTCCCAAAATAATGAGCAATAGATTAATAAAAATTTTAACTGACCCTCAGATCAGTGAAAAAAAAATTATAGTAATGGTATGGTATAATAAAAGTACTGGCACTCTAACACACAAGTGTCTGGTCCACAGCAGTATGCAATTGTGCG